GGGGGGGGGGGGGGGAGAGAAGGTTTAACAAGCCTGCTTCGCTTAGTTTGTGTGGCAAGCACAAAGCTCCAAAAATTGATTATACTACATACGAACATTTGGAATCAAGTCCAACGAACTTCCTCCCGTAAACATGGAGCAGAAACTGAATAGTCTAGTGTCATTGTGCTTTCCATCGAAATACACTCGCACGCCTGTACTGCGACAGAGCCATCTTTGGACACCAAACACTACCACAAAGATAGCAACAGCAACAGCAACAGCAGCAGCAGCAGCAGCAGCAGCAGCAGCAGCAGCAACAACAAACACAGCATCAACCACGTTGTAACACAGCAGTACGTGGCGACAAATGTCAAAATCGTTGGCTTCTGGTTCCTGGCGTAAAATGTTAAAAATGTTTTTCCAAAATTGGCGAAAGTATTGAGAATGTCAAAACGTCGTTTTGGCGGCTCCGACACATCCATGTCCCAAGGCCCACAGAGGCGCCCGGACCGACCGCCCCTCCACTTACGGCTGCACTCCTCCAGACCGCTGCATCCCTTGAAATCTCTCTCGTATAGCACTTGCGTGTTGCCTCCTTGAAGCAGGGCGACCTGTGTGTGCGTGACACAGCCCAAAACATTGAGGAGAGCAACGGACAAGAAAATGTAGGGTTACAATTTGACCGCAATTGACCAACCTGAATTTGTTGCCGCACGCGCGGCACGAGTAGGTTGTGAAGCACGTTGTGTTGATGTCAGGTCTTCATGGTGAACCAAAGCTTCTGACCGTTACGCTATCCAGTACCACCCCTCTCCTTCCGTACCATTTGTCGAGCCAGTGAACCAAACAAGGGAATCCTATGCTGGCACGTGTTTTTGTGTATGTTTCGTGAATCCGGGCAACAACAAAACAACGCGACCAAGTCCAGTAGCTTGGAGCATAAACACAGCAACGCGGCCAAAACCATTAGCTTGAAGCACATACGTACCCCGCTGAAAGCTACCGCAACACAGACGGCATGTACTTCTTTCAGGCAGGTGTACATGCGCGGTCCAGCTACTGTTACGAATAACTGTCTATGAATAACTGCAAACCTACCCGTGAGTGCGGGATCTCTCCCGTCTTGAGCGCGTCGATGGTGAGTGACTGCAAACCAACAGCAACAACAACAGCAGGACAACAGGACGCGACGCGACGCGACACGACACGACAGGGGAGTAAACAAAGGGCACGACCAACACGGCACAAATGGAACAGGACGTACGTCAGGCACGGGCGCGAGCTGTTGGTGGTGGTGTCGTGGTTCAAGTATTGTGGGATACTTGCGTAATCGTGCTTGTTCTGGCTGTCGACAAATACACACACAACTGAGATCCTGTTGTGCAGCGAACATCAAAACAAACAAAAAAAGGAACATGTGGAAGCGAACACTATTTAGTAGGCGATATCACCCTTAAACTTGCCGTTGGCATATCTGGATCTAGTCGCATATTTAGAGGTACGTGCGTACACCGACGTTGGTAAAAAAAAAAAGAAAAAAAAAACGGCATTTCTCGGCGACAGCAATGGTTGAAAACTAGCGATCTACGAGAGTGAATCGGGTAGGAACGGGGCACGTGGGCACATGAGCCACCGCCTCCTCCCAACAGACACGGCAGAGTCAGCCGTGAGTCCTACAGCAAACAGCGGGAACAGTCTGAGGGCAAGCCCCAACTTATCGTTGAGGGACTAATATGTAACTGTGAGATCAGCACACACCCTCTCGTACGAAGAATATTCAGTCCACAGCCCCAAAAAACAAAATGCCCCGGGGCAGGTAGAGAGAAGCGGGCGAAAATCGAACTGGAACTTGCGGGAGTTTGGTAAGGCTGAAGTTGCTGGAAATGGGGTTGGGCGAAACCATGTATGCATCCGTTGTCTGACACGGCAAACAGCAAAAAAAAAGGCGCTACTGTAAAACACGATTCGCTACTCATCTCCTCAAGGGCAAAGGCTTTTCAAAAGGAGTTCGCAAGGCCGGCGCGAAGAGCCCGTCGGAAAAGACAATCAATCGGGTCGTTGCTGCACATCATGT